TTCATTGCGTTATTTCATTTATGTCAGTTTTGTAGGCCATAGAGAATATCCCCAAAGGAATGCCGGTGAGAAGAAGCTTGTTTGAATACGTTGTGTACCTGCACAAATATATATCACCCATTGCAAGTCACATACAATTCATTTCATAAGAAATTATTTATAAGTATCTCCTCTTGTAAAACTGCTTCTATTTTATTTGGCTCAAAGAAAATACCACTTAATTGATGTTAAAAATACATCTAAATAATATAACTTATATATATATATATATATATGATTATGTATATTGGTAGAGCCTTGAAAAAAGAAAGGTATATTCAACAAAGATATAAGTGAAGTAAAGCATTTCATAATTAACATGAAAAGAATCAAAAGAATACGTTATGTGTAATTGTTGCTAAAAGTAGAAGAGTTGCATAATATTAATGCTATATAAGACATTCACTATGTGATCAATCTATTATTTAAACATTTATTACTATAATGAAAAGAAGTTAAGAATTTGCACTTTTACAGTATTGTTGGGACCCTTCAAAAATACTAATGGAAGGATTTTCAAAGTATGTATTCTTGTGTGCAGCAGAAAAGTATACCAATTTGTGTGAAAAATGCATGAATTGGGACTTTGTTTTTAATGTTAGAACCATGTTGATTTATAAATAAATATTTTAATTTATCAAGGATCACAACCTCTTCATTGCTCGTCCAAAATATTTGCTTGCTCAATGAGATGAAGTAAAAATGTAAAATTGGGTATCAAACTTTAAGGACTTGATTGATGACAATTAAATTTTAAGAACTAAATCGATTATTAAGACAAACTTAGGGATTAAAATTTTATTGTATAAAAATAAAACAAGTTAATAGCACAAGGCTCATTACAGTAATGTGCTCAAATTTAACTAAATGAAGCTTAATTGACTATATGAGTGGACTTTTGTCACGACTCTCAACTGTTAATATTTTCTTTTATTTTAACCAAATAAAATAAAATAAAACAAAATAAAACCTCATCCATTCACTTGTGTGGTAATCTGACAAAATTGCCCAAAGAAAATGCCATTGAAGATTCTTTACTTTCTAAATCATTGAAAGCATAGGCACGTGACAGTGCTTGACATGTGAGTTGAAGAAGAACGAAAATAACTGTCAAAGACTAATAATGAAGCCTTATAGGCTTATACACAATCATATTCATCTCAGTCATTCCCTTCCAAAATATATGAATAACGCAAAATTCAATTCATAATTTCTTGGCTGGTTTATAATTGGCAGATTTATTAATTATTAGGCATTAATTATCATTCAAGATAATATGCCAACGATATGATTGGCGAGGCTTTGTTCTGATGACATGCTCCCCAAGCTCATCCCCTTTTCCTAATTTCTAACCATTAGATTAGGATTAAGATGATATAGATTTGATTTCTTATATAACATTTCAATTTAATTTGTTTTTACTGTATTTTTTAATCATCCATACTATATTTTAGCAATTTAAATTTTATTATTTTGGATTTTTATAATTTTATATTTTAGTAATAATTTTATAGGAGATCAAATCCGAACCATCCAACTCTTGATCTAATGGTTTAAAAAGGAAAAGAAGGGAAGATGATGGAAAAGGAAGTGGAGAGAACCTTTATTCAACAAGATTTATTATTTTAGTTAATCAGGCTTTTGGTGAAGTCTAGTGATTCCTAGAAAATCTCTATAAACAATAAATAAATAAATAAATAACCGCCTGATAACCTATCATTGAAACAAACGAAAGATTGGTTAAAAAAGAAAATCTTAGAATGGAGTTTTTGAGTCAAAATAACAAAAAGATTGCAAATTTGTTAAAAATGACTTCCTTCAAAAACTTGCATAGAATGTCGATGGTCTGAAGAAGAGATGCTCGACATGTTTTAATGGTTACACTACAAATTCATAATTTGTAAATAATAATGCACTTCGCTCAAAATTTTATTACATGAACTAATATATTTAAATTGTAGGAAGCAATCATGAGACTAAAAGCTATAAACTTTGTTCGCTGTCAACGATTTACTTTGGGATTGACAGTTGATACCGAATTTAACTTGGGCAATGTTATTTTTCGAATATTAGCCTGAAACATTTGAGTAGTACAACTCGTAATTTTATTTGGCCATTTTTTTTAAGCAAAACAAACCTTTAGTTGGGCAAGGTTACTTCCCAAGTTTCATAAGAAGTTAGGCTTTATATACATTTGATTGGTTTTATGGGAAAAGAATTACATTTATCTAATATAAAAATTGAAATGGTATATCCTTCAATTACACCTATATTATCATTGCCCAATAATTATTTTTATTTAAAGATAAAAATATATTTTTTGTAGACTAAATCTACAAAATATGTTTGCAACATTCGATCAGCTTGACGTTACCATGCTTCTTCAAAGTAGAGTAATCATTAAAAAAATCATGTTTAGATAAATGAAAAGATGGAATTTGAACCAAATCTTCCATCCAGATACATAAAAATTAATAAATTTAGATTTAATCTAAATCCAGATCCATCTTTTATTATAACTTTTTTTTAATTTAAATTTCCTATATATCTAGTTATTTGAAATTATAGTCACATCAACTTGTTCTCATCTATTACCTATTAAAGAATAGAGGTAAGCCTAACACTCTTAATTTTTTTCTTTTTTTTTTACTTTGAACTTCAACACATCCCTCTTCTTCCTTTAAAACTTTTTACACAGTCCAAACTAATTATTTTAAATTCATGGATCTGAAATCTAAAATATAAATCCAAATCAATTAATCTAAACGTCACCTAAAGTAATTCTTTTTATGTACAAAATACTTCTATCATTATAGAATAGTTTATAAAAATATATTTAAAAAAATCTGTTTATATATTCGTTACTCCTCAATTCTTATGAAGAACAAACATTAATTTCAACATGAGATTCTTTATGGCCAACAATTTCAACGTGAGGTAATTAATTGGTACACTCTCATCTCATTAGTGAAACCATTCACTCACTAGAAGGGTTTAATATCGTCCTATTTATCACCTTTATTTAAAATAATGACTTAAATTAAAACAAACAAAACAAATATTTTATAAAAGAAGAGTAAATCTTAAGAAACTTAAAATAATTACAAAGCTTACAAAACTAATTGCAAATAATAAGTCCATGTGACTAGTTTTGATTACAAAATTCTTTTCCCATTCTAATAAAAAGTACTCACTATTCACCTCAATAGTGTAGCCATATGGTATTCTTGACTTTTTAAAGATTAAAGTTATCTCCTAACATAAGTTAATGCAATGAAAGAGAAAGAAAACTATGCTAGTGATGAAAAGAAACTTTGTCCGTAAAAGCGATCCATTATCACATCCAGGATCATATTTTCCTTAGGTCATGTATAGGCCATAGAGTAACCCCAAAAAGTACGTTACATATGAGAAGAATATTTGTCACTTTATCATTGGAGCACATTTTCATTTATGGCTAGTCTTGTAGGCCATACAGAATACCCCTAACAGAATGCCAATGAAAATGAGCATGTATGGATTTTTTTTGCCTTCGCAAACATATATGCAAAAGTCTTTATTTTTAATTTGTTTGGATGTATTATATCTTTCCATCACCCATTTGTTGGTAGATGACATGCTTAACTTGTGAGTATATACTTCAGGTCACACCATTTAATAAGAAATTGCTCCTAAATATCTCCTCTTATGAACATTTTGTTTTGGTAGTATTATATCTTGGCTCAAAGAAAAACACTGCTTAATTGATTTTAAAATACACCTAAATAATATAGCCTTGAAACAAGAAAGGTATATACACAATAAATTGAAATTGAATATATCAATAATTTTTATTATGATATCTTGGATATCATCAACATAAAGAATTTGTAACAATTGAGCATTATTATCGTGTTATGTGTTTATTTACTATAATGATCAATTAAAATAATTAAATAATAAATTCAGTAAATAAGTAATAGAGTTTTTTAAATTGAGCAGAATTTTAAATTCAATTGATGAATTTAAATTATTCAATGCTTATGAGGAAGATGAAATCTTCGCCAATTTAATGATGCTTTATATGTAGAAGGAAATTTTTAAAAATTTTATCATAAACACAATTAATTATTCTTATGCCGTGAAAATTGATAGAGGTATATATTTATTTTATTTTTTTATGTGTGTGTGTGTGTAAAATTAAATATAAATATATACGCTAAAATATTTACGTTATGTAAGTGATATATATAGATTTAATTTTATTTTTATTATTATATATGATAAATTCAGCAAGCAAGTAATAAGTTTTTTAGATTGAACAGAACTTTAGATCCAAATGATGCATTAAATTATTTAATGCTTATGCGAAGATGAAATCTTTCCAATTTAATGATATTTTATATTAAGAAAGAAATTTTTAAAATTTTTTATCATAGGCGCAATTAATTTTTTTTCTAATTTATCCCCTGTGTATTTATTATAGTTTGGAATATTATACAATTTAGTATGATTATAAATTGCAAATGACAAAATTGAAAAGTTACATATTTATTTAATAATATAAGGATAGAACTCTCATTTTTTTATAAGCACAAAGTTGATTAAGTTTGCCTTAGACTAAGGATGAGGAAAAGCAACAATGTGATCATGTTGTGTTCTAGGAGGTTCATCAATTAATCACCTAAAACACTAAAATTAATATTAAACCACTAGGAGCGGAGCAAGGATTTAATTGAGATGTTGAGAAGGAAAAGCACATATAATATAAAGTTTGCATAAGTATTGAAGAATTGAAAGTATATAAAATGAAATCACACTAACACATTTGATCACCACAATGAGAAAGAATTACATCTATAGAGATTAGAAAATAGAACAATAAGTAAACAGAGTCCATTATTAGATGGTTAGAGAAAGAAAATGAAACAGAATGAGGAAACATAAGAAGATATAGATAGCTATATAATGCAAGCAAGAACTTAATAATCCACGAAGGTCTCATAGTCATAGCACCAGCAATTACACGTCAAGCTTGGTGATTTTTTGGAAGCAAACAAGTGGTTAGCGTGGTGTTTGTTGAAATACAGGAAGGTTTTTTCGCCAGAAGATGAAATTGTGGGTAGAGGAGAGAAGCCAGTATAGTTCCTATCCAACTTCTCTAAGCATATTTTCGTAATCGAGTCGAAGCCTAAGTTTTGTTTCTCAAAGGGTAGGGCTGCATAATCCTCGACTGGCATCCACTGCATGAATCAAAAGGGCAATTACATCAGACTCTAATTAACATGATCTACCAGATGCAATGTCTATTATGTCCTTGTTATCATTATTTATAACTACTTGTCACTTTTTTGTCATATTGGGATATGAGTGACATTTCTCATCCTCAGATGAAAAAATGAGATGTGTCTGTCAATGATCTCTCATGATGAAAACACAAGTAGAGTTGATGAATTTACAAGCATACATCCTTTATTGACTAGAAACAAGACTGCAATAGGTATGAAATCAGACAAGTGAATAAAAGTTGAAATCTTTTGAACATTTTCATGAATTTAAAAGAAAATGAATAGGAGTTGAAAATTTTTTCATAGATTAATAGGGCACAGAGCATACCCGAGCTGCAGCAATTTCAGAGGCTTGAGTCTGAATATTGAAGGAACGTGGTCGTAGCATGCAAACAAAGAACAAATCTGATTTCTGGAAGAAAGCCTCATGGCTTTGCCTGACGCAAGAGAGATAAAAAAGAGAAAAATAATTCAACCTTTGTGCCTTGACAACTGATTATTATTGATTAACATGTAAATTTACTAATTAAATAGACGATTTAGTCCTACCTGAAAGCTAAAACTTCAACAAATTCTGTCTCTATCTGTGAGAAGAATTAAAGCAGAGGGGTCTTAGGCTTCAAACGAGTCCAAAAATACAGATTTTAAAAGCTAATAGATTGTCTAGGTACGTTTGGTTACTGCTGTTTCTTCTTTAACTTCTCTAATAGCAGCAGTAGAAATATCCTCACCCTGTAAGTGCAATCCAAATTATGTACAGAAAAAGATAAAAACAAATTAAATAATTCATCAACATTGGACTTTAAAATACCTATCTCCTCAACAGTCCCAGTAGGTAACTTCCATATACCTTTACCTTTGAACCAACCATTGCTCTCCTGAACCACAAGCACCTATGACATGAAACAAAACAATTTCATTACTATGGTACTTCAAATAAATCACAAGAATATACTCTGAAACCACTAAATAGAAATTTCCTGCCCAAAAAACAAGTTGGATAATCAGAAAATGAAGGCTGACCCAGGTACTTGGAAAGGGAAAAGATTTGATCTTCTTTGTGGAAAATAAGTTTTTTTTCTCTATGTACAAGTCCTTAGGCAATTAATATAAGAAAACTTAAAAAAACCAGATTGCTCTGCTGGATAAAGCAAATGTATTGTTTTTCCTCAGTTGCCAATGAATCGCTGCCAATCCCAAAGTTAAAGGCTTAGTGAGTCTAGGATTCTAACTGATAATATTTTCCCACATTCATCATTATATGTGCACAATTACATTAAAGCTGAAGATGTTTAAAAGAACATGTATTAAGCCACTGCCTTTACAATTCACTTGTTCTTTTTTTTTTTTTGTGAGAAAACAAGTACCATGCAGGAATTCATGTTCATATACAGTTAACAGGCTCAAAGTACTCACTACAAGTTAAAAAAAAAAAAAATAAAAAGAAAATTCAAAGCTAAGCTTTGTATTTTTTTCCCTTCAGTTTTCTTGACAGAAAAGTTTATACCATGTGCACAACATGATCTCGTTAGCTAGTGTTAAGCAAGGCAAAATGTTGACCCAATGGAAACTGGAAACACAGAAAGGAATACCTCTCTATTGTCATTCATGACAAATGCACCGATCCCCACACGATGTGAAGCATTTGCAGGAAGAGTATCAGCAGTGTTGGGAATCCAATGCACAAGCATCAAGTAATCCGGTTCAGCATGGTGGTACCTAAATCCAGCCTGCAAAAAAAGATCAGAATAAAATCTCAGCTTGACCCAAATAATTTGCAGGCCAACATCTTGAGATTAGCCCAGACCATTGTGCAATATTGTTGTATAGGTAGATAAGTGTTTTCTGGGGGAAAAAAGTGAAATGCACCTATCTCATTTCCTCCTTAGAAAACACTTTTCAGTATACCAAACATTGTCTTGATGCAGTAACAACTTGATCCACACTCCCTTCTTTCCCTGTTAAAGCCATTTTGATTGTTTATCTACGGCTAACAAGCAATCATATCTATTCAACCAAAAAGAGGTATTATAGTTAAAAAAACCTGACGATCTACCTGTTCCTGCCAATTTGACATTGATGATTTTAGCAGAGAAGAAAAGACCATGGAATCCATTGGCTCTTCCACGTTAACTATAACTCCTCCATAACAATCATCCTCTGCATTAAGTCCTCTGTCTTGCATTACCTCTATAGCTGTGACATGTAAGTCCTTGGGATCAAACCGTTGCTCATGTTGTTAGCTAAAGGAATGACAAAAGCAAATAGGATTAACTTCAAAACATATTAATAAATAAATATAGCGCTCAAGCTCAAAGCATAAACGTCACCTTCTAGGGATAAAGGGAACCAAGAAGAGTTCTCTTTGGAAGTGAAGGGACAGAAGAAGATGAGAGAAATGATTTACACTTTGCCAAAAGGCATGTATAATTAATGAAGGTTCAAAGATCTAAACCTGAGCATTAAAATCAAAGCTGAAACACGCAGAGCAAAAGTACTTACAATTTCTCAAAGACGTTGTTTTGCTAATTTGATTTTCGTGGTAGCATGATACCCTGTTATTCTTATAGGACGGGTCCGCTTGAAGCACGAGAAGGAAATTTCCATGCAAAATCAGACTAAGACTTTGAATGGGTCATTGAATTTTGAGTTTGGTTTGGGTTCTCATTATTATGATGATATTTGTACTATCCAGATCAACCGTTATTATATATTATATTTTTTAAAACAAAAATTTATAAAAATTATAAAATAATTTTAATAAAATTTTTATTTTTAATATAGTCTAGATTTAATTTGAGGGGTCTAATTTAATATTAAAATTTTTATAATAGATACATATTGACTATTCAGATGTATTTTGCACAATCCAGATAAAAATTTTAATATCAAATTGGACCGTCTAAATTAAATCTAGACCATATTAAAAATAAAAAAATTATTAAAATTATTTTATAATTCTTATAAATTTTTTTTAAAAATATAATATATAATTATGATTTGAATCTGGACTATCCATATTAAAATTTGAATAATTCAGATGTCATTATAATAATGAGCACCTAAACTGGGTTGTTGAATTTCTCTGCTTTGATTAGTTTCTGGGGCAGATTTGAACCCTGAGACCAACAAGAAAGTACAAGACTAAAATGGAAAAACATGAATCAAATCAAATGAAAGTAGAAGGACGACCAGCAAGTGACATGACATCTTGTTCAGCCAATCAGGGAAAATGCTCTGGCCTTTTGACTTTGTGTTCTTCTAAGATTTGTATTACAAATACGCCTAGTTAGGAATGCAACAGTTGGCAACCAGGTGCAATGCGGGTTTCTATTCTTTATTCTTTTTTTTTTTTAGTAATATCTATCCTCTACTTTGGAATTCACGGGGAAGTTGGTTTAGGTGCTAAAAGTTTAGTACATATTTTTTGTTGTTGTTGTTGTAATTATACCTTACTCTCCTAGTATTTTTTATTGAAATTAAGGAAAATTTTATATTGAAAAATATTCTATCATTTAATAACTTTTCTAGTAATTAATAAGAGGAAAAAGATAAAGATATATCAAATGATTATTGAGGTATCCTGTAATTAAAATAAATACTCTTTGTCCTATAAATAGGTTCAAAAGAGTAACTCACACAATTAGAGATCAAGTCCCTGACAATGTGTTGAACTTTTTGGTAGATAGATATACCTCTACTAGTGCTATTTAACCCTGAAAACATGTCCTGATAAGCCCCAATTTAATTCACCTAAAAATTAATAGCAAGGTACTTCCCTTATCCGATATATAAGTTATTTCCAATATAATTTACTTTCACCAAAACTAAGAAAAATTTTAAAACTCATTGTCTATCTCCAAAATTGTAATAAACTTTTAATTTTATTTCTATTAAATATAATCATTCTATTAAAAAACCATAAGAAATTTTTTATGAGGTAAGATATTAAAAAATATAAGATATTTTAAGTATTTCAAGATGTAATTAATATTATTTTTCTAAAAGATACTCTTAATTAGGGGGATAATTAATAAGGTTTTTTAATGGAGATACATTATTAAATAGGACTAAATATAAAGAAAGTGTGTAATTTTAAAAATAATTAACTAACTTATTGAAGGTGTAATTTAGTTAAAAGTATTTTATAATATTGAATGAAACGAATATATATTTTAATAATATATTTTCTCTCACCAACATTTAATAAAGAGTAAAAAAAAATTGGGATAAAAATTTAATGACATAAATTATACATAACACAAAAAATTTTTTTTTTCTCCATCTTATCAATAGGACTGAAAAAAAGTATTTTTTTTTGTTTTAGTTTATTATTTATGGATGATGGGGGTTTTTGTTTTCATCCAATGATGTTTTGTATTAAAAATAAAGATTATAATTACAAGTTTCTTTGAGCTTTTTATTCATGCATATAATGTAAGATTAAGATGTACTTTTACTCTTAGATTTTTTTTTTGGAGGAGCATTGAGCACCCTATATTGATAAATGGGGTAATTTTTTTTCCTAAACCATATTTCTAAAGAGCAAAATACCCTTTTTATTAATTAGCTATTAACTTTGTCATTTTCTACTGACATGACATGTCCATTGGGCCCATGCATAGTAACAAATAAGATTTTTATCATGTTCTTTAATGTTAATTTGTACTTGAACTCTTTTTCTGGAAATGCCGAACATCATGAATCTTTTTCTAGGAGCATTAGATACCTTAAAGTCTTGTTAAAATAAAATTTAATAAATATCCTTAAAATATTAAATATTTTAATATTTAATAATTTAAATATTTTTTGGTAAAATTAGTAATTTAAATATTATTATTTATAAATATTTATCCAAAATTTATAAATTATTTTTTAAATATTGACAGGTCAAACCAGTTTTTTAAAAATTTATAGATAACTTGTAATTTTTTATATATCAGTCATATATTTAATATCGATTAAGTTCTTAAATTTTGTAGGTCCTTATCTATAATATTGTTTATTAGCTAACAATCTTCCAACAAAATATTACAACAACCAATTTAATATTATAATGTTTTGATATTTTGTAATTTTGTATTAACAACTAAGGGAATGAATTTCTAAATTAATAAAGGGATTTTCCCCTGCATCTCTCCATTATTTTCTTGTTAAGTAGCTTTTTTGTAACACGTTAATAGGACATACAATATCTTCTAAATAAGCATATTTGTTGGCATATTGTTCTTGATCTGTTAGAGTTATGATCGTACCCCCAACACTGTAGTATATAGATGGTATTAAATTTAGATTATGCAATATTTTGGGGGGAAGATCATTGGTAGACCAAAAAAATTGCAGAAAATGACATAAAAATTAAAAAAACTTAATAAATGTTAAAAATATGATTGACATATAAAAATTACAAGTTAGTCACCTATACATTTGTGAAAAACTAGTTTGAGCTGTTAATATTTAAAAAATAATTTACAAATTTTGGAAGAATATTTATCATTATTAAATATGAAAATATTTAATATTTATTAAATTTTATTTTAATAAAACTTCAAGGTACTCAACACTACTAAAAGGTGGCTAGTATTTTTGAAAAAAGAGTTTAGGCATAAATTAATACTAAAGGACATGCTTAGAATCCTACTTATCACTGTGCTTGAGCCCAATAAATATGCCATCATATAAGCAAAAAATGACAAAGTTAATAGCAGATTAATAGAAGAGATTTTTCTCTCCTTGAAAAAATAGTTCAAAGAGAAAATTGATCCACTTATCAATACAAAATATCTAGCGCTCCTAAAAAAATTCAAGAATAAAAATGCATTCAACCCTAGTTTTTAAAATACTAATACTCATTTTTTTCTTTCAGAAATTCAATGCTCATTTTTATTTTGCAATGAGTTGATTTAATTATTATATATATAAGTAATCACGTATATCATTAAACTAAAAATCACATGATGGTAAAAAAAAATTAAAAATCATATGTTATGTGTTATATATATATATATATATATATAGTCCTATCAGAAGTGTGAGATGGCTTCCCTTTGCATTCGCCCCTCCCTTTGAACCATTTAGATTTAATCTAGATGGTCCAGGTTTGATATAATTTTTTAATTTTTATAGTTATTAAAAATAAAATATATAAATATTATAAAATTTTTTAACATACTTTAACCCAATCAAATAAAAGTAAATAGATTTTAAAGTGTTAATAATATTAATAATAAAAGTTTATTATGTATAAAAAAAAACTCATGTTTTGATTACTCTTCTGATTCTATTTATAAAGTACTTCCAATATGTTTCATCGGAACTAAATAAAACCTTAAAACTTATTAAATTGATCTATAAATTTAATAATTTTTTAATTTTACCCTTATTAAATATATATATATTAATAATATATTTTCTTATTCCAATATCCAATGGAAGTCAAATGGGAAAATTTTATAAGGTGACTTATAAATAGAACAAAAAAAATTCTCTTTCTACTTTATAAATAGGACCAAAGGGAGTATATTGGAAATAAGCATCTTAAACATATAAGGTTAAGAATTTAAATTTAAAAAAATTTGAAGAATTACATTTAAGTTCTCAGTTAAATATCACAATATTCATTAACAAATGACAACCTTTTTTTTTTAACCAGAAAATGACAACCTAACATAGCCAAAATGACTATAATTTTAGTTGTCATTTTGCTATGCTAAACTGTTGATGAATTTTATTGTCCCTCAATCATAAATTATAAGACACTTTTAGAGTTCATCATTTCAAAATATAAGATATCATTGATGATGTCTTTTTAACATTATCCTCCACATTAGATTGTCTATCTTTAACATTATTTCACAAATAAAGTATTGCACGAAAGACATTTTTAACAGTTTGTATTTTTATCTTAAAAATAAAATTATAAAGTGTATTTAATGAATTTTATTAATATCATGATATGCCTATAAATTTGTGGAGGGAATAATATTTAATTACATTGTGAATGTAATTTTTAAAGAGAATTTTGTCATGGAACGAGTGGAGAACATAGAACTCGAACCCGCACTATATTTTATGGTGGTCAACTCGAATTTTCGTGTTTGCGAAGCGAGATTATGGTATTGATTACTCCCCTGTTTTTATATATAGTATATTTTTTTAGATATTTATTTTATACCTAAATATACGAAGCATCATAATATTTTTAAATCAGTAAGCAATTTTATTTGTTTTAAAAAAAAGATATATTAATTGGGTGCTTTACTTACCATCGCCATGATATTAATTGACATTACTAAGAGCAAAATTAAAAAATTATTGTAAGTTAATGTTATTTCAATTAAACAACAAAATTTTAATTTATTGATACGTGGTATTTAGTTAAATATATCTTTTATATAGGGACTGAGAGAGTAGTCTGCGCGCGTTGCTTTTTACTCAAGCGTCAGACTTTGAAAATGGGATCTGAGTTGAAACAACAATGAGAGTGTTTGAATGGCAATTCTGACTTGATTTTCGTTCAAAATCATAATTAAATACAACGACTCCACATTTTCTTCACTTTTATTCCTCATTTATGGCCTCAAAATCATAATTAAACACATTTTCTTAAATTTTTGTGCCTGATTATTTGAAGCAGGTAGGAAGCACAAAAGCAATTCAACGGAAATATCAAGGCTGGCACATTGGGTGATGTTTGGATGAATGAACGTGGAATAACTGATGAAATTTACTTTCATATTATTTTAAACTGGGACAGCATTGATCAATTAAGACACAATTATACCAAATTAGTATTGTAAACAATTAAATTAATTAATTAATGTGATCAATGTATATAGGACACACAAACATATTATATTTACCACTCCGATATTGTAATTTTCCCAGACTTGATCTACTCATTCCTCTGAAGAGACACATAGTTATTGTCAATGAATTGTCTTCGTAGTTAAAATTGAACATAAGCTTTTTTTTATATTAATATTTGTGAACAATTCTTTTGACAATCCAGCCATCCAGTCCAGATCAGCTAAAACTAAATTGCATTTTAGTCAATTTTGTTCAAAATAAATGTATTCATTGGAGGAGCTTCTCAATTCTCATCCAGTTAGATTGATTCAATTGATTCAAATGAAAAATGAGAACAAATCCAAAACTATAAATGACTCTTATTATTAAAGTCACTCATTAAAGAATCCAAATTTTATTTTAAATGGATTGCTATAATTTATAAATAGAATGGTGCAGTTTTGTGTGTGTGAATAATATGATCTTATTTTGTTTATATCCATACGAGAGTATTTGTTTAATTAAAGAGAAGAACTGTTAACCAACAAGAGTTAGTTCTAGCAGAAGGGGGCTAATTTCCTTCATTCAAATGATTAAAAACTTTCATTCATTTGATTTCCTATAATTGACTAACTCCTGAATAATGCAAAGTTAGTATCTATTTGATCTTGTTTTCCTACTATTTCTTGTATTTTCATATCAAATATGACGTTCTTATAATGTATTTAATATATGGTCTATTTTTAGTAGGCCATAACATATTAATATATTATAATTATTTCATTTTTTATTTCTTTAGCAAAATTCACCAATTTTAGATTGCATAAAATATTATTATAATCGTTGAATAATAACAATAGAGTATATTTTTGTATTTTTTTGCCACAAAAAGATATTTGTAATTTTATTGATGAAATTAATAAGGTTAAAGGGCTAAAATATACTTTATCCAACACTAAATTTAAATGCGTTAATATAATATAGGATGAATTAATTAGAAAAAAAAGAAATAAAAGTCATTTATGTGAAACTAACATAATAATAAATTTTATCCTTATATTTCTCTTTTTCTTTAATTCAAAAAAATTATTTTAAAATTTTTAATTATTTTTTTAAAAAAAGAAAAATCTTGATTAATAAGTCATAATATTAAACTATAATGTAAGTAAAAAAAAAGAAGTATAACTAATAGAAGGATGCTTGTGAACAATAAAACATACAATTTATTATCTGTAAAAAAAATTAAAATATAATAATATAATATGATAAAAAATTAATTTTAAGAATACGATAATATAAAAATATAAAACTATACGCAGACCTCACCCACTTACATTAGAAAGGATTTTTGTGTTACATTATCAAAAAAATCTAAAAAAATATTAATTAAATATTTCTATATACTGTATAAAAACAGTTTTTAAACTGTACAATGAACAGTAATCTAAATGGAATTTACAAAAGGTAGGATGTATGTTTTAAATATTATCTCGTAGATGAGAATGTTAATGTGCACTTAATATACTATACACACATTTAAATTCTACTACATTTAATTATATGCCATTTTCTGGAAAGACATTTGAGAGTTAAATTTCCTGAACATTTACTATAAACATGAAGACAAATTAATAAATAGAATTGTGAATGTATTACAAATACCAAATAAAAGACATTATTTCCATTTTCCAGATATGTTTTTTTTTTTCCTTTACTAATCTTAATGTTCATGAATTCATTTAACAAAGGAACATTAATATTTTGATTGAAATATTCTGAGTACTGATCAATCCATTACTTCTCTCAATTGTCTCATGTAAAATCCGTGCATTGTACGGGGATCAACCTAAAATCGTTCAGGAAAAATATTAGGGGAGGACATCATCGATTTCAATTCAGTCATGTCATATATAGTATACTTCTTTCAACCATCATAGAGCCCAATAACATCAGTAATTCGAACTGGAACATGAAAACCGATTTAACTCATCAAAACTAAATTTACATTTCTTGGATTTTTGCCAGAGAGCTCAGAATTTCTTCATTAACATTCCTTCACACATTACTATGTCTGTGTCGATCGGCATGAAAGTTTATAAGAAACTGATGTTGGCATTGGCAAGGCCTGAATGATGAGTCATTTTCAACCAAAACAAAATTCTTGAAATAAAAAAAAACAATGTCTTCCCTCATGCACGTTCATTTGGAATTTTATGAAATTTAGGGTCTGTTTGAAACTATTTTTATTTTATTATTCTGAAAACTATTATTTCATATAACATGTTCTGAGAAAAAATAATAAAAATGAGTGTTTTTCTTATTCTCTCTTATTCTACAAAACAATAATCCCATAACATCTAAAATATGTTTCTGTTTTTTATTCTCCAAAACAATATTTTATTTTTTTATTCTTCAAAACACTTTTTAAAAACACATTACTAAATAGATTGTTTTTATTATTTTATTTTAGAGGATAAAAAACTGTTGCCAGAACAAGTTGTTAAATAGGCCATTAAGCTCCATAATTGGGAAAAATTGAATTATAGCTGTACAAATATATCTCTTTTAACATATTGAGTAATCTAAAATGTCAATGCCTAAAAAATTAATAGGATTAATTAATTTCATGCTAAACCATGCATGTTTGTCCTTCAGAATGTAGTTCAGATAGCTTATTTGACTAGGGTCTAATTCATCCGTGTATTTATACACTTGAATAACCATGACAGCTATTTTGACATCCTTTCAATGTCTCTGAAATGAAAATAGTGGGGTCTCCATCTATAGAAATTTGTGGAAGAGAGATAATAAAATGATTATTAAACAAAAACTAGTGCTGTGAAATGTTAAGATTAAAAAAAGTAAAAAAAATATCAAATACTATGTAAACAAAATCGGAAGCCAGAAATTCTCTCCCTAGAAATGGGGTGGGAAAATTATACATAAGTCCCACAGAAGAGATTTTATTATAAGAAGTTCGATAAAATGTACAAAATACTCCCAAATCTCAGATCCTATATATTTATAACTTGGCAACCCAATTATAAATGTCTTCTGCCAAGTTGTAAATATATAGAATTTGAGATTTAACATTAATCCATGCATTTTATGGGACCTTTTGATAATAAAATCTTTTTTTTGTGAGACTTAAATGTAATTTTTCTTAAATTTTCTACTTTAACAAGATGATAGTCGCTAGTGTTATAGTTTTTGGCTTAACTTGGCTAGTTTCTTTTTCTTTTGGTTTTTTTGGTCATGAACTTGGCCAGTTTCATATGGGAAGAATGATAGTTAGATCTCAAAATACTAATTAATGATAGTTAAATCCCTGACAAATTTTTTTTGAAAAATAAGTTAAGAATATCAATCCAGATTATTATAAATTTAGGAGCTTCAATTGCAAGTCAATATTTAAATACAAATGTAATTCTTAGATTATAACATAAATTTCTATTTGTAACTACTTAAATTGATATTTATAATTTACTTTGTAAAAAAAAAATATCAAGGGCCTAACCATCATTAATTTGTTTTTTTGAGACCAAACTGTTAAAATCCCTTTCTTATGTTCGGAGAGTCGCTTTTCCAATTTGGAAATGAAAAACCAATTCACCTAACATCATTATACTGCGTGTTTGGATTACCATAAATGATCGATTTTTGAGTGAAAAAATTGATTTTCCACAAAATGACCCAAACACCTGTTTCTTGTGGTAATTGATCATTGAGAGAAAAAATGATTATTTCACTAAGTTGCCTTATTAAGCTTCTAAAATCAATTGTCACCATTACAATATTCTCATCCTCTTGTTTTGGACCAACCTCACGTTTATGTTTTTCGTTTCCCCTGTCTTGCTAACTCATGCTCTCCATCTCAAACCAAACCTCAGATCTATCATCATCCTCACCGTTCGCCATCTTCGACTGCAGCCAGCAACAACAATCTCCCATGTGCTCTCTCTGGTGTGTGCTCGTTCTTTGCCCATCATCGATCGTTGTTCGTCATCTCTAAGGTACAGCAACCTCCAGCCAAGTCGAGGATGATGGGGTGGTCGAGAAGGAGCTGGATTCTAAAGGAAGGCTAGTGGATGGTGAGGATGACGGTGATGACATCGCGAGCGATGTTGTGGACATTCTCGATGACATTGTGAGTGCTGGTGGAGTCTACATCAGAAGTGGGCTCATCGAGAAATAAAAGGGATGGTCCATGGATGATGTTGATGCCGATGGACACTTGACGTCTCTCTTGGCAAGATACTCCTCTTGTTCCTTCATCTTCGATGTACGTGTTTCGAGTTGATTGCATCATCAACCCAGTGCCAAAGTTTAGAAGACAGTGTTTAATTGATAAGTTTGACTTCTCTAACATTGCACTATAATTATAATCATTTTATATATTATATATTTAAAAAGAAAATTTGGCAGAAAAATATTGTCATACCCCAAACTTTAAGGTGTGACCGGCATGGGATATATGTAAAATTTATATCCCTAAAGCCTTGATATATAGAAAATATTTGATTATAGCCATAACTCATTTATCATACAAAACAAAATTCTTTCAACGACAAATCTAACAAAATGAGCTTAGAAGCATTTGATATGCTGTTTGGAATTTGTCCAGTTAGTCATTCCCAAGCAGCCATAATTTTTTCAAGTTGGGAAGGCCAATTCCTAAATTCGATGGGAGAAGGCCAGACAAAGAATTAGCAGCAAGGCCTAAGTATGTCAATGTTGAAATGTTGAATATGTTGAAAGGAATGGGTCCAATCAAATTGTTTCCTTGCAAAGAGAACAATTCAAGTTTAACAAGATGGCCCATTTCCTTGGGTATAAAACCTGGAAACTCCCAAAAAAAAAAAATGAAGTTAAGATCATTTCCTAGTCAATGTTGCTTGCATAATATATATATATATATATATATGGCCAAAAAAATATAATATGTATTATAACATAAAAAACTACATATATGTTAGTAATCAAAAAACTTGTGAAACAATTATATTTTGTTATGCTAATTAATCTTGCATAATTAATATGTTTTTAAAATAAAAAATTAGGGAAATCATGAACTATCTTTGAGATGCCATGGTTATATAGAGAAGATTTATTTTAAAATTGAAGTATTATGTTGTAACTATTGACTAATTATTTAACAGGAAATCAATAAATTTGTGAAATAAAACAAAAAATATTGAAAAATTTGAAAATGAAAATTAAGCAGGGAAAGGATGTGCTCTTTAATAGTGGGGAAAATACAGATTCAGAGTTAATTAAAGATAAAATCTGTAAATATAAGTATATATGCATAGACATGAAATTGGAAATGGAAAAAGAAAAAGACAGGTAATAAAATTTCCTTTTTTTAATAATAAGTCAATATATTAACATTAAGTAAAACCATTACAAGATTAAAAGGCCCTCAGAACAGATTCTAGAGCCTAAGCACAAAGTCTGGCTGCGAAAGACAATTAAAAGTACAAAAAAGCAAAGTCCAACGAAGACAAAAGAGACAGACAAAAGGAAAAAAAGAAACACACTGAAACACTAGGACATAGCATACATCGAAATATTCTTGAGCTAACAGGTATGGCATAATTTTAAGGCTCGTTAAAAAGAAATAAGTAACCTTCCCAAAGAAAGGCCCAATAAACTGGTAGAAAGGAGCGACGAGTCAATGGTAACCTTGACTTCCAAAGAATCTGGAAATCAGTTGGTTGAGAAATATCCCATAGAATTTGTAAAACCAAAGCCAAGGCTTTGGATACAGAAAAACCATGCTTGTGAGCTCACAAATAAGATGAAAAAAGCTATGAAATACAAGTATAAAGAAGACACATACGATAAAAGATGCAAAACGAACTGAACGAGGCTAGACAAGATGAGGCACAAAAAGTTGTAGCGCCATCTTCTGGACCTTTACGGTGCTGCTACTCAAAAAGGTCCATGGTTGAATCATCCTTTTCAATGTTGCTTGCATAACGTGTGTGTGTGTGTGTGTGTGTGTGTTTATCCCCCCCAAAAAAAAAGTGTGTGTGTATATATATTTGGCAAACACACACACACACATATATGTATGTATATATGTATTATAACATAAAAAACAACACATATCTTAGTAATCTAAAAACCTAAATGTTTGTGTTATGCAATTAATCTTGCATAAATATTAGTTTTTAAAATAAAAATTAGAGAAATGATAAACTATCTTTGAGATGCTATCGTCATAAATAGAAGATGTATTTACAAATTAAAGTTTTCATGTTGTAATCGTTGAATAACTATTTAGTAGTAAATTAATTAATTTTTAAAATAAAACAGAAACTATTTTTGAAAAATTTAAATTAAACAGGAGAGGATGTACTCTCAAATAAAGGTTTTTTGTGCATTGCCAATTAAACTACTTTTCGGTGATTTTTTTTTTGGGTACAGTTGAAGTGAGAAATTAAAAGAAAAAGGTTCCACATCATATATGCCAAGTCCACACGTTTGGTTTGAGAATAATAAAACTTTTGATCCTTCAAATTTGCATCAGTTATGATTGGTCCCTTAAATTTAATTTTTGTCAATTTAGTCTCTTATACTCCATTTGATCCTATTTCTAGAGTGGAGAGAGAATATTTTTTTTTTGTCATATTTATAAGTCACATCATTAAATTTTGATTGCAAATTTTCTCCTTTATCCTCTATTGAATGTTGAAGAGAGAAATCATGTTGTTGAAATATGTATATTTCAAATAGGAACAAAATTGATAATTTATTAAATTTTTAGACAAAATTAATGAGGTTTAAGATTTTCCTTGACTCCAGTGAAACATGTTGCAAGTGACTTATAAATAAAATCAAAAAAATATATATTTTCTTTCTTCATTTAGGACAAACTTATATATATATATATATATTTTCTTAAATTATTATGTTAGTCATTTAAGTTTTAAAATACAAATAAACTCTTAAATTAATTCAATATGTAATATATGTTGATGGCTTGGCATGTATAGAATCAAATGAAAAAAATAGCCCTTGAATGAGTTTAATTTTTATCAACTTAGTCATTTATGCTGCATTTTTATTTTGTTTTTTTGAACATTTTTGTGTTTATTTTTTCTTTCATAAATAATCATACTTCTTTTCATTAATCTACATGGTTGTCATCAATACTCTATTATCTATGCCAATAAGAAGTTAACAGTTTTATCTCCTCTTTAAATAATAAATAAGGACTAAATTAATGTCTAAGGCAAACTTAAAGGAGCAAATTGATAGAAATTAAATTTGAAGAACCAAATTGATAACTAAAACAAACTCGAGGGACTAAAAATTTCACTATGTCAATATATGTATTTTACAATTTCTTTTAATTTCAAATTAAATAATTGTTCACAAATTATAACAAGAAAAATTTTAATTTGAATAGTTTTTATTAATTTTGCAGAGAATTGAAAACGTGTGGAACAGTTCCTCTTTAAACTAAATGAATTAAAATGAAGCAATCTCTTTTGACAGGCACAGTGCTACTCTTTCATCCCACCCCACAAAAAAAAAAAAAAAAAAAAACAAGAAGATGAAGCAATCTAATTATTTGTCTGACTATTGAAAATATCTCGTATTCGGGCTCACTAATTTTAGGCTTTTAGCTCAAATATGGTTGAACTAGTGTCTTTGGGTGGCATTTAAATTGTTTATTGACTTTCACTATTATTATTTGTAATTGATTTCTTTTACATATTTAAATATTTTTTATGTATAATGAATAAGAAAAATAAAATTCCAAACTTGTCTGTATTTTAATGTTATTTTGATATAAAATTTACTTTATCACACAAAAATTATCAAATATTACTAAATCTAGTAGTATGTTTAACAGCAAATCTAAAACTTACGTTGATTATGACAAAATAATTTTAAGTAGTACTCGTTTCAACTACAGAAGATTAATGAATTTGCAAGATTAAAAAATTGAATTAAAAAAGAAATAAGTTAAAACAGATAAAGAATGTCTTCTTAAATAAGGGGAGAAAAAATATAAAATAAAGTTATTACGAGACGCATAAAATTTTGGAACAAAAGTAACGTAATTTTAGATTTACTCCATTTCAATATGAATGAACAGCAAGAAATTATGAATGACGTGATGAAAAACAAAATCCTGTTTTAGATTTACTCCATTCAAAAGAGATTAAAAAAATGAAACATAAATATAAGTACATTATACATACCTGTAAACAGTGGTGGAGCCAGGACCTTGTGTCAAGGGGTGCAGATTAATTTTAAAAATAATAATTTAAAAAGAATTATTTAATAATTTTTAAAATAATCATACATTTTATAATTGTCCTCTACTTATTGTCAAATGCTATTAAAAATATTTCTTTCATATAGTTCACTAATTTATGATATTATTTATATATAAAAATATATAATAATTAACTAGAGATTTAAAAAAACTTAAATAAATAAGAATATTCTTTTCTAAAAGTCATATTAGAGTTTTGAACTTAGTGAATTCATAATTGGGCTTAAGTTAAAACATTCACAAAAAAGGGCCTAGATTTCAAGGGATTCAAAATTTTGTGGCTAGAAAAGATAAAATAGCAAAATATCTACTTTTTATTTGTAATTTCTTCCAAGTTGAGAGGATGCATTTGCCCCCTCCCAAGTGTATGTAGCTCCACCACTGCCTATAAATAAGTTACCATCCAAATACAATTCCTTTAAAGATGAGCAATTACTTATTGATTTTGGAATTATCCTCAGCATCAAAGATTTCAAGTAAAGGGAGTTGATGGCACAATTCTTCTGGCGAATTACCATTTAAATGATTCATGCCAAAGTCAACCACTCTCAGAGAAGACCTGTTCCAAGTAAATGAAGGAATTCCACCTAAACAAGGTGCAAAATGTTTGTTTGTTGTTAGT